AATCATTAGCAAATTCTGCAAAACAAGATATCAATCTGTCAATAAGTAAACTGGAGATAAATTAAGATCAATACTGAGTGGCCTATAAAAGGCTGTTTCCTGCATGGTTTGTCTTTCCAGTCATTGTCCGTAGGACTCTGGGAAGTCGTAGGAATATGCAGGTGCAGACTCAAGGCCCAGCTTCATCTCCAACGGTGTGGAAAGGGACTATACATCAGGAGGCAGAGCCCTATGCTCCCCTACGCCACTTGGACAGAGCCTGGGTAGAGTGACCTCCCAGGGTATCCACGTTGGAACCTTTTGATTAGTACAAACATCACTCAGTCATAAATGCAGTTTTTCTAAACATCACCCCTTAAAATATTTGCAATATCTATGTTTGCATATTATCAAACAGAAGTTTTGAGCACAGGAAGATTAAACGTCTTAGAGGTGGCTCTTGACTGCCTATAACAGGGGTCACCTCCCTCCTAGTTCCATTGCAAAAATGTAACACATCAACAACCTAAAACCAATCCAGGGTAGATTTACTTACTAATCAATAAACCAAAAATTCAGACCACAGCTACTTACCTCAGGAGTTACTGGAGTTACTGCTTATTCTGCAAAATAAGGTATTAATCAATTAATAAACTGAAGCTGAGTTAAGATTAAGCTTAGGTGCTCTAAAAGACTGTTTCCTGCATGGTTTGTCTCCCCAGTCATTGTCCACAGGACTCTGGGAAGTCGTAGGAATATGCAGGTGCAGACTCAAGGCCCAGCTTCATCTCCAACGTCGTGGAAAGGGACTTTACATCATGGGGCAAAACCCTATGCTCCCCTATGCCACCTGGACAGAGCCCGGGGAGTGACCTCCCGGGTGTATCCACGTTGTAGTCTAGTTTCCCAGACAACTGGGTAACAAGTTTTCCTTCTTTCCAATATCAAGAAGTAAAAACAAAATTCGTTTTCAAAACAGATCATCTGTCCTGTATCAGCAGTTTTAGTTTTCAGACATACCAAACTAATCTAGAAATCTTTCAGTACCACGCGTAAGGTCATGTCAAAATTACAATGAAATTGGGTTTGTGGGTCGTTCAACTACAC